AATTGAAGAGATTTTGAGCAGTAATCGTGTGCATGGCGGATCACAATATTCTCAGTTACTCCCACATCATCCCTCTTTCTCTCTTGCTAATCTAAAAAATTAAAAATTGGTGTGCTTGACAATATCCAATTCTTGGTGTGCGCCGTGCATTTCAATACCACTCTGAAACATCAAAAGGTGTTTATGGGTGACCCAGCACGAAGGCTCTCATGATTTATAATATTGCCTTTTTGAGCTTGCAAGCAACTCTGTTAGTGAGCAGCCTCTTGGTACAATCTGACGCCTTTAAGCAGGGCTAATGCTTTGTTTCGAGTTGCAGCTTTTCGAAAATACTCGTGTCATGATGAAAATTCTCCAAAAGTTTTTCATCGTCGTTTTCTCTGCATGTTTTCAATTCGTTGAGCGTTCGGCTCTCTTCGTTGTTGCATTAGGCGAATTTGAAATGCGTGCGTAAGTTCAGAAACATCAGTTTCCAGGGGTTCGCGCGGGAAAGCGGTCTGTACGAACGCGCAAGGGCTTTGCACGCCCAGTTTCACTCAACGACAATGACCGCAGAGATGTGAGCGGGGTTACGGTAGCGTTCGTGAGACCTTTCTTTTTCGTTGTTCCTCTGTCCGAGTCCTCCACATTCTCCTCATCATACACCGATGCCACCGAACGCCGAGCAGTCGTCGTTCGAGCTTGGCCTTGACAGCGTTAGTGCTAGTTCCTTTCTGCTAATTGGGGAAGACCTTGGTCGTCTTTTCCAGTGTGAGGACGAACGCGAAATGCCGAGCGTCGGCGAAAAAACTCACGCTCCACCGCGACTCAGATCGAAATCGCTGCTGCAGTTGTGCAGTGTGCCTGTGAAAAGAGATTCTGAGACGAGGAAGCAAGCACTGGGGCGAATGCGGGCGAAGGTTATCGGCCGCGCGGTAGTGGTTGCGGGTTAGAAGCGCTAAAAGCGAAGCGAAACGAATCGTTTCATGTCTCAAGGCTAGCTAAATCGGTCAAGGAAGGTCAACTTGAAGGACCATCGCGCTCTTGGACAAGGGGTTCGCTTCAAGTGGTGAGGTTGGATTTTGGAGGACGTTCATTGATTGGTCGGAATTTCCTACACAATTACGTCGTACTGGATATGACTGAGATTTGGAATGGAAAATTTATGTTTAAGTTATACTGCGCTATCGCAAGACAAGGGGACATTGCAGCGGACACAAACGTTACTCCCTTGTCGCTTTGACTTTTTGTCAGGAGAGGCGGGGTACAAACCCCGGAGTACATGAGTTTTTGTGTTTCTGCCAATTCCAGGCTTTTCCTAGGGAATGCCCCTCATCTTGCGGTAGCGGTGTCATAGGTTCTGAAGTACGTCTCGATTCTCGACGCCAGGGCGGGTAGGGCACCTTTAAGACCCCCTCCCTCCCTCAATAGTGGCAGTCTTTTCATCATACCGACTGAATTTCTTCACGTGAAAGTGGACTCTACGTACTTGGTTCAAGCTGATTTTGGTGTTTCGAGTATCAATATTGAGCATTATCTTTCCAGCGGTCCGCTTTGGACGTGTGCCAAAACGCGAAAACAAAAGCGAGAAAATGGTCGAGGAAATTGCAAGCGAACATGGCTCAATCGCAGCTCGTTACGACTGGCGGTTTCAATTCGAAAACGAGGTGGGGGATGGCCACGAAGGATTGCGGAGCAGCGTTCACGTGTTAGCTCTGCGGAAACTGCGTGAGTGTCCATTTCTGGGTCGTTTGCGCTGTGGAACATAAACTTCCCTAGCTGAAAATGGAGGCCTCAAGTGTAGGTTCTAGTTTCAGGTGGCATAAAGCATATGTGGCCTTATCTTTGAATCAGTCTTTTGACTTTTCTTTCCTCACAGGAAGTGTGAGGGAATAAGCATTATGTTTGAGGGAGCATCATGTATCCTAGTTCCTACATAATGAATGGGTAAAAAGGGTGGTCCAGTGCACAACAACTCAGTGCTTCTCTTGTCCCCGACCAACTACCAGTTAACCAAATTCGGAGAGATCGAAGGCTTGTTGGCGAAGGGCAGTCCGTAACATTACCGTTGAACGTCCGCCCCATAAATGATGTCACGTCCCACTCTACAACCTACCCCTCCCTCACGTGTACTGTAAAAAATTTGAAACGAATTTTCGTTCAAATTCATCCGATGTCGTTGAACATCCTTGAACTCCTGATGCAGCCTACTTTTCGGTCCCAGTTTCTTTAGTACGCATTGCAAGGCCATTCGGCTGTGGGTTTAGTGGTGGACGTCTCTTGCTAAATTATGCCGAATAGCTACAGGGGCAATAAGCTTCCAGTTTTCCAATTCTGTTGAGACCCGATCAAACCCCACTTCTCTTTATTTATGCTCTCCTCAGCAATTAAAGCGCTCATTGTCTCTCCTGCTAGGGTTAACCGTTTGTTAGGCATTTTCCAATGTGGGTATCCTTCACTTGTTGGAAAGGGAGGAGTAATGAAGTGAAAGCAGTGAAACAGTCGCATTTCATCTTCGGAAGGAAACGAAGTGGGTAACTAGAACTTTCTTCGAAATGGTATAGGTGCGATCATTACACCCCATATCTCCATACTTCCCCGGTTGGAGGTGGGATCGAGATAAGGAGTCCAAGGATAACAAAGAACTTTTATAGAAAATCGTGAATGGATTTGTAACAGAACTGAGGTGGTCATGCCCGAAATTCGCCCGTCGTTTTGTATTATCCATGCTGCTAGGTATCCCTAGAGCTATACTCAGGCTTTACCTTCTAACCGGAGCATGATCTTGATATTTTTGTTGTCATGATAGGTCATCTGAGCTCGCAAAAGTTCTTATGTGTGCCTAGGCTATTTCGAGGTCAGCGATTCTCATAAAGTCACTTTTTCAGATTGAATCTTGCATCGTCCCGCTGCCAGGTGGTCGTTGTCCATTGCAGTTTCACTCGTATCTGACGGCAATCAAGGGCGTAGTCGATTTCGCCAACACGATCCCAGGATTTCTCTGCCTCGCGCAAACCGATCGCATTCAGCTGCTTAAGGTGTGTTACAACGAAACGATTATGTAGAGAAACTTTCGATATGAAGTTTAAGTTTAATATATTTAAATATTTTGAATTGCTTGGGTCTTTGGGGATGATTAACTGCAGAAGTGGAAACTTCTGAAGATTATCGTAAAGGTTGTGTGGCGATGGCATAGAAACTGCCGCGTGTTCCGGCACCGAAATGACCTGATAATTATTTGGACCGTAGAGGTCATGCATTCGAACCTCTTGATAAGGGTTTTGGGAAAAATTGATAAATGATTAGTGTCCTCCCTCGGCTTTTTTTTTCGGTGACGATTTTCATGTGTGGTACTAAGCAGAGGGGTTGAGTGCACGCTATGTCCGACTTGGACGTAGATCACCTTTCCTTACACCATCTCTCCAGCCTCTTCCCTACCCTGCTCCTACGATTGAAAAGTGGCTATGCAAACGATCCCTCTTTGGTTTTTCTTAATGGTAATCGTTAAGTGGGCCTGGAGTGGTTGCCTTACTTATTGTGGTCCTAGTGATACTACCAGATCCAACCTACCTTCCAACTCCATGAAAGTCTGTCGACATCGGCAGCAGAGGCTGATCTAGCAAATACGGCGAAAATGAAAATTATCAGAAAATTCTTCAAATTGCCCAAAGCTTTCCTCTATGCCGAAAATATCTCTTCCCATTATTACTAATAATGGAACGCCTTTTGTACCTTGATCAAAAGCGGCCCTCTTCTGAAAACAGAAGTATATCCCGCTCATTCATGTTACCAGCCAACGGCCACGTTTTACACGGCTAGGGCACAGAATTTTTTTAGTTTTCTAAAGGGGTCGCTATACTGATAAAAGGATAAAGGATAAAGCATTTGCCGTTGATCAATCCCTTTTTGGGATGCGGCACGCATTCTACTTCCATTTGTACATTCGTAGTGGCGTTTGAATGCGATGTGGCCTATACAATGACTTGCGCGGGGCCAGCCGATGTTCAAGTCAGTGTTTTTATCCTCCCAGACAAGTCTGGTACCAATTAACCGACCCCGGAGGGATGGAAGGCTTGGTTGGCCCGGGCGACTCACGACCCAGGATTTGATCCCCGGACCGCTCGCGTGGTAAGCGCCACTTGCCACTACACCACTTCCGCCCAGATTGAAGTGTGGAAGAATTCCTGGGATGGGTGAATTGAATTTATGTGGAGTTTTGAGATGATTTCGGGTTCGTGGCGTATTGTTACGAAAACCTATCACTTTTTCAGTTGTAAATTCGTCTAAGAAGCAGTTACAATGTTAATGGCGGAAGTGAAAAATCAGCAGTTCCAAAATTTTATCAAAATATTATATATACATACAATACCTATCACAACGTTGCGCTTAGGCGCTATACACCCGTACTATCAAACGAGAGATGTATCGGTTTCAGAGCTGCGTGTTTGACGTGCTGCTGCTGGCATCGGCGACTCGAAGCAATGGTCAGGATACGAGCCTTCCGGCATCACCCCTCCTGGCTCACTCACTGGTTCATTTCACACATCGTCTACGTTCGCTACCTGCTGGCTGTGCGTCTCTGCTGGCTGCGTTGGCGGTATGCCAACAGGACGTTCTTCTTCCATTACCGTCACTGTCGACACGTCTCGTGGAACGCCTTTGGTGGCTGATGGCTCGAGTTGGTGGCCCAGCGACGTTAGCCGTCGCGCCGTCACTTCTGGCTGACGTACGCACGTTACGCATGTGGCATAACGATCGTCTACGCACGCCGTCGGCGATACCGACATGCGTTCCGATTCCGGCACCAGTTTCGGTGGAAGTGTCGCCGTCATCTGTGCGGTCGTTCCGTGAGCGACATGCTTCCATCGCATCGCTCTTGGAGAAGCCACCGGTGAGCATTTTGTCGCCACGTTCCGTGTCCAGCGAACCGGGAACGAAGATGGACATGAAAATCGACATCAAAATGGAGGACAATGAGGAGCCGCTAAATCTGTGCACCAGAGAGGATGCGAAACCGATCAAAGTATGGAATTCCGCGGCAGGCGCGATGTCTCCGCGAAGTGTATCAGTCGCTCGGAGGTAGTTCGTTTCCGACTGATATTGCTGCCGTTTTTGCCGCGACCACCAACGTTGCAGCACACGACTCGAGCGAATTCCTTCCGGAATCGGCCTGAAATTGATAAAAGTAGTGATTTAGTTCTATCTCAGTAATCACATAGTTTTGTAGTAACATTTTTCATTTTCGTCATAATAATCCTGTTTTGTTAAGCTTTGCCCATGGAAATGACCCGGTTCTTCTCTTTTTGTTATTGATTAGGTGACGAATAGAAAATGAGTATTGGTCTCCGTATTTGCCTCAAATCCACGTGGTTGGCGTTACCGCAAACTCATATTGAAGTGGTATTGTATTGATTAAATCGATCCGATCATATTGCCCCCGTCCAAAATATTGAAAAACAAACAAACGGTGACGCGATTTTAATTGCAGGAAATATTGTTGTATTTCTGACAGTGTTTTCTTTTTTTGTTTTATCATCAGTGTAGTTGTATGAATAGATGAGTGAATTATCACACTGACGGGATTCGTACGTGTATGTAAGGTTTCTTCTCGTTTTTGTTGTGGAAATAAACCAATCGATAATCGATTTTTTTCATTGGGGAAGGTTGGCATACCAGACTAGAATGGTATAAGTTTCACAGTGAAAAGTTCGAGCAGGCCTCATTGGCAAGTAGCCACAGACAAAGTAAACTGCCTGCACACTTTCGTGGAATCGAATCTCCTACAAGGAAGATCTTTCAGGTCAAGCCACGCTTTTTGGAAACGGTTTCTTGGATATTGTAGGGGCACATGTATACCACAAAACCATGCTTCGTTTTCACTGAACGGTTTTAGTAGTGTCAAAAAACATCAGGTACTCTTAATGGTTCGATCCCCGCGGCAACTAAGTTTTGCAATCAGGGTTGGCGGCCACTTTTTGACTTCAAAATGGTCCTGATGAAGAATGGGACACCTTTTTGAGATAGCATCGTTCGACACCATCTCGTAGGTAACACCAAATGCAAAATTTAGTCGTCACGGGGGATCGACCATAACAGTACCTTATGCTTCTTTTTTGGCACTGCTGAAATCGTTCAGCGAAAATGAAACATGGTTTTGTGTTCCCTACATGCGTCCCTACATATGCAAAAACCGTTTTGGAAAAAGCGTGGGGCTGACCTGTGCCGCATACCAAAAGGGGATTAAATCAACGGGAAATGCTTTGTGCTTTATGCTTTTGACTATCGAAGGGAAGCATTGTATTCTTCAGACTATCCTGGCATTAAGAACTGGGGAATTGCTGGAAGGGTGGACACATCCTCATCTATGACAATACTTCCACTGGTTCCTACTGTTGGAACTGATACCAAAATGAGGTTTCCATTTGACAGAACACTTCACAGGGCTCACAACATCATTTCTCAGGAAGGCAGAAATCCGAATTGTTGCTAAGCGCAAATTTTTTGCGCCTTGCCTTCGGTCTATGTTAGCAGCTAATGTGAGCGAGTGGGCCAACCTGCTCTTGAATCCCAACAACGGCTTCTTTTTTAACATCATCCCTAATGATAACGCGGGTGCAGCAGTACGGCCCGCCACAACCGGGCCGATGTTGCTGCACCCGGAGTATCACTCAACTGAACGGAAAACCTGATAAAGTCGTTTCTTGGTTAGGAATGTCGGGATTACGAGGTGTGTCAACTACTCTTATCTTAAGTATTTGAAAACAATCTAGAGTAGCTCCTTGAACTCGATTTTCACCGTTTGAACAAGCCTTCCATATGGAGATAATGCTTCTTTTTTTGCATGAGCTCATTTTAAATTACATACACTTAATGGCCAAACTGTGACAAAACATGCAAGTATTGAGGAGTTGAAATTTTAATGAAGAAGAAAACAAAAAATTCCAAACTTTTAACAAGTCACTTTTTTTTGAAAAAAAAAATCGTGTTTTTCAATTATTATTTCCGATTTTGAGAATTGTGTGGCACATCGTATAGTGTTCCCAATTTGGTGTATTACAGGTGGATTTGAGGCAGTTTCATTGCTTATTAGCCGCGTTAGATCAAAAACAAAAAACTTTTAAGCCTTTTGACCGCTACTGCACTTGTCTAACCAGGACATGTTCTGAAATT